ATACCGTAGTCAATATGGTAGTTTTTTCTCCATTTTATTTTGATCTAAAACTCAAAACTCAGTCGTATGAATCCAAACTCTCCTATGATACTTTTCCGACTTACATTTCAGTCTAACTTGTAATGATTACTGTAATTCAAAACTAAGAGATCAAGGCATCGAGCTGTCTTTTGTTCGTGTAGATGAAGGATGTTTGATGATTTGTATTATTTTCCAAGGCTCATCGTTTGTATTTGTATTAGACTGATGAAGACATGACTAGCTAAATGTGTTCTCATCCTGAACCAGAAAGTTTAATGTGTTGTGATGATGATTTTGACAAGCAAGTAAAGGCACATATAACTTGATAGATTTCTTGATAACTTTTGTTGCTCCCTGTACCTGTGGTGATCAGCCTCCATGAGGAACTCCAAGTATTTAGCTTTTAATGAACACAAAATGCATTTTTTTGAAAGTCTTTTAACTTTCTTTGATACAACTGATTGTCACTCTACTTAGTTCTACTGGTTATTTGTGAGTAACAATTGATAGTGCAATACATGAGTAAATCAAGTGTACACGTAAATCATTCGCAACATATATTCGCTTCCATATCATAGGCATTGTCTGATATGTGCTTGAGACATAAATTATCATTAGTAAACAAGAGTTGTGCCTGTGCTTTAGCATAGGCATATTACGGTGGTTATGTTTTGCTTTGGATACTTGAAATTTATGAAATAACATAACTCAAATGAATTTTGATTGATTATGTTCTTCAATTTAATCCTTCAATATATGTCAACGTGCCTTGCACGTGCACACTCACTAGTGGCGATAAAAGTAATAGGTTTAACTTTTGTGGATGGAGAGAGTACTACTGTCTAGACTAGTAGGTAGGGGTGAAAAGAGAAAGGGTATTTCCCGCCTGCTCACCCGACACTAGGCTCAAGGGAAAGAAAGACATGTGAGAGAAAAATTGAGTTTTTCTTAGGGTACAGACATGGGTGCAGGGTACAGACATGCTACTTTTTTTAGGGATTGCTACTTACTGTAAACAGTGGGCAACATGTAGTGTAGTAGTTTCCGAAATCCTATTACAATGTTACTAAAAATAAATAAAATTATTTTTTTAAGAAATGCGTTATAATCTTTTCCTATAGGGAATACTGACCCTAACTTGATATGTACATGCTTATCTATTTAGATTTAATTTTTTTAGTATTACGAAGTTCAAGGGTTAAACTACCAAATTAATAATGAGAATAAGTGGTAGGCAAATTCACTTACCCCATCATTACCTTCTTGCTTAAAAAAGTATAGATTCGTGTCCTGCTGCTCGACTGTTGTCCCCATTGTCTTCACACTGGCAGATCGGTCTGAGCATTGACATTGTTGTTGAATTGTACTCCATGTTTCAACAGTTAAACGACCATGTTTCATGTACGAGAAGGAAAATGTTTTTGTAACTTGACCATGTTGCACATTTAAGATTTTGGTTCTATGAATTTTTGGTGTCTCACTGAAATTCAATATTTATATGTGGAAGCAAAATGCTTCGAGTCAAATGGATTTGAAAGTTTCGCTTTTTTTTTTTTACTTATTTCCTGACATTGCACTCCACTTCTTAATATTGCTTCGCGGTGCATTTTTTTTATGTATTTTCTTTGAAATGTTTTGATGACTTTTTTCCCAGAACATATAACCTGACGGTTTTGGCTGATGGTCACCTGAAACATCTTGTTTTAACCGCCCGATGCTATTCTTGTCAAGATTTAAATGCTTGTGTGTGAAGTCATTCACACGTAACTCCACCATCAGTCCATCACACACACTAAAAGCACCCGCAATAGTAAAATAAGGTGCTCTCTATAAAACATATACATCTCAATAATAGACTCGATTAATAGTAAACCACCTTAATAGTATGTCTACATTGGTATCTATAGCTCTCTCCTGCATTGCCTCGTTTTTCTCTATAGCCTATCTCTAAGTTAGTACATAGCTTTGCTCTCTCTCTCTTTATTTAATACATTCTAAGTAGGAAAATATGCTGACATGGATCTCTTGTAGAGAGCCTATAGATAACTATTGTGGGTGCCCTAATGTATATGGGGTTAGAAACTGATCATTTTCCTCGTAAAACGGAGTAATTCGTTAATGTATGATTAATTAAGTATTAATTTTTTTTAAAAAAGATTATTTGGCTTTTAAAAAAGCAACTTTCATATATAATTTTTTAAAAAAACATATCGTTTAGCAGTTTGAAAAGCGTACGCGCAAAAAATGAAAGGGGTTGGTTGGGAAAGGAAGGAAACAAACTCAGGCCTTGTTTAGTTCCAAACTTTTTCTTCAAACTTCCAACTTTTTCATCACATCAAAACTTTTCTACACACATAAACTTCCAACTTTTCCATCACATCGTTCCAATTTCAACCAAACTTCCAATTTTGACGTGAACTAAACACACCCTCAGTCAAAGTAATATGTAAAGTAATATATAGATGTAAGTCAAAAATAAAACAAGAAACACAATAGAATACAAACGCATTATGTAGCTTAACATGCAAAGGAGTAGTTTTTATAGCTCATTAAAGACATATTAAAGCATGATGTTAAAGATTACCGTGCCCTTTATTAACATATATAATTAATATAATAGAGAGAACACGAGGAGGGGCGAGGAATTATTATTGGTTCAATCGCTTAAAAATGAGTAGAAGAAAAATAAAATATTATTAAAGATGTCTAGCAAATCAGATCACAATCTCATTTTCCCATCATGCTCGAGCATAGGATGAGATTGAAGCAGCATTAGGCAGATCGATCGAGCCCATGAGTCAATGCCACGTCTTGTCTTAGCTTATCCTCGTCTCACTGGCTTCTTTTAGTTTCTGTCCATCAGAAGCAGCAGCAAGCGGAGGCAACAAATTTGAGGGCTGGAGTTAATTTGGGATTGCTCCTGTTCGAAGATACACCTACAAGGTTTCATTCTGGCATTATTTATTTCTCCCTCTCTTTTTTAATACGTTGTTGACGATTTTAGATATGAATGAGGTGGGACATGCAGGATCCAGAGGTAAGCCCCCTCCTATTCGAAGCCGGGTGGCTAAGCCATTCCCATCTCAAGTGGTGGCCCGATTCGGTAATTTCGGTAAGACTTTTTAAAATATATTTGACTATTAGTTTTATTTGAAAATTTTATATAATTATCATTTATTTTATTATGATTTGATTTATCGTCAAATGTTCTAGAAGCATGACTTAAACTTTTTTTTATATTCATAAAAGAATTTTAAACAAGACGAATAGTCAAACATTTGTCAAAAAATCAACGGTGTCGTATATTATAAAACGGAGGTGGAGGTAATACCATGCTGGAGTAAGATGGTGTTTGGATTTAGGGACTAAATTTTAGTTCCTGTTACATCGGATGTTTGTACACTAATTAGAAGTATTAAAAGTAGACTAATAATAAAATTAATTGCATAAATGAGAACTAATTCGTGAGACAAAATTCTTTAAATCTAATTAATACATAATTAGCACATGTTTACTGTAGCATCATATAGGCTAATCATGGATTAATTAGGCTCAATAGATTCGTCTCACGAATTAATCTAAGGTTATGAAATGGGTTTTATTATTAGTCTACGTTTAATACTTCTAATTAGTTTCAAACATCCGATTTAAATTTAGTCCCTGGATCTAAACATGGTCTAAATATGTACGTACCATGATGGTATCATTTTTTTCTTTTTGGCTAGAATGGGCATTGATTGATGATGACCATGCCGGCAGTAGGAGGGCAAGAAGGTGCCCAGTGCGACTCGCTAGAGTTGGACGATGCGGAGTCAGAACTTAGAACTTATACCATATAGCATACCATAACATCTTTTTTTTATAATGGAATAACAATTCGGCCTTTGCTCAACGAGCTACACCAATTATTACAAAATCCACACAAAAACAAATTCAGCACACACTGATTGATATAAAGAAAACACAAACTAAAAGACACCAACACAAGATAAAAGAATCCTAAATTGCTGAATTCTATTCGATAATCTCCATCCGAAGTTGACAAGAAGTTGACAAAAAGGTACATGATTGTCGACTCAAGTTTACGACATGCATCATTTGTTAGCTCGATATCATCATTTTTAACTTAATATCATAACATCATACAACAGTAAGGTGATTTTTGTAAATTTCAGTGGACTTGCATTGTAAAAAAAAGTGATTCACAAGGTGTTTGAGAAAAGCTGTGGGGTTAGCTGATCCCACGGTATTGTACATGGCTCTATCATTGACGGTGACGACTGCATATGTTAAGGGGAAGGGGCAAAAAGCTAGCCCAATGTATAACATAAGGCAAAAATCCCTGGTCTAAGGTGAAAAGTTGGATATGGTCCTAGACCAAAATAAAACTTTATGGTAATTATAAGGTGAAATTCAGTCGTTAAACATAATTTTTAAGCTAAAATTATATTCGACCTATATTCCATTTGGAACAGAGGCAGTACATGCAATCCTCAAAGTCAAACAACGACATCGACATGGATAGCAACCAATACGGCAACATTATCTACATTGAAAAGGACCCTAAAAAAGAATCTACTTTTTGAAAAAAATGATCCATATAATAGGTTAATGCTTAGAGATCACCATCATGTTCCAACATCAAATTAAAGCCCAGCTCTTTTCTGATTTAGATATAATTTTTACGTCGGTTTTCGTCGTCACGTTTTTCTAAGGGATACCCAATACATTTCGTGTAATAACTTTCTATTAAAAAACTATTTTAAAATATCAAATAAATTTACCTTTTAAAATTATAACAATTACTCCCTCCGTTTCATATTATAAGACTTTCTAGCATTGTTTATATTCATTTATTAACATCTATATCTATATGAATATGAGCAAAATCTTATAATATGAAACGGAGGAATTAAAACTTATCAATCATGCGTTTTCTTGTTTTCGTGGATCATCATCAACCTCAATAGAAACGTAAACGTAAGCGCACCACACGGCCGAGAATGCTCGTGAGCAGCGCCTGCGCCTGGCATGGACGTGCCGCTGGTGCCAGTGCCAACGACGGCGGCCGACGACGACGCGGCGGCGGGGTCGCCGTCGCCGTCGCCGGAGATGGAGATGGAAGAAGACGGCGGCGGCGGCAAGGTGGTGTACGTGGCGGTCAGCGGCAACAGGAACAAGGCGCTGCCGACGCTGCGGTGGGCGCTGCGTCGCCACGCCCCGGCGCCGGAGGGGAGGAAGAAGACCGCGCTGCTGGTGCTCGTGTATGTGCACCGGCCAGCCACCATGATCCCAATCTTCAGTGAGGCTTCCCATTGTTTAATTTCTCTTGTTTTTTTTTTCTTTCAAGGAAATGGTGATGATTCAGTGCATATAAGTTTCCTGTGTCGTAATGAGGGTTTTGAATTTTGAAACATGGGTTTTTGCCGGTGGGGACCGAAAGAACCGAAATTTTGTTTTTTTAAAAGAATTTTAACATATTTTAACTGAATTTAAATAAATTTTAATCAAATTTACAAATATTTGATAAAAACAAGTAATTTTGGGGAGATTTTTGCTTGCCAGTGGGGGCCGAAATTACCAAAATTTTCGAACCGAAATTTCAACCCATGGTCGTAAAACACCTTGTAGAAAAGAAAAAAAACCTTTCGTAAATAGCGTACCATGAACTCAGGACTTTAGGGTGCTAGTCAGGTCACTTAAACCACTAGCCTATATAGCTTTTCGCAAGGCGTCTTTGTTGTGATGTTGGTGGGTGGTGGCCGAATTTGTGGGGAGAAAAAAAAAGAGATACTTGAGATTAAGATCCTCCCAATTTTGTATTCCAGCAGGAGCAAAGGTGCCTTCAATTGTTCTCAAGGATGAAATAGTCACTTCTTACCGGCAGCAAGAGAGGAGGATTACTGAAAAATTTCTCCAACAATACCTGGACATCTGCACATCTGAAAAGGTGGAAAATCAAGCTCATTATACATATCACTGAATAAAATTCCTTCTTCTGTTGGTTGTTGGTGTCTCTGCAATCTGCATTTCCCTCTAGCTTTTGTGTACAGAATGTCTCTAGAGAACCACCTCACCACCTCATTTTGTCGATATTTTGCTACAGAGAATGTCTCTAGCAAACCACCTCATTTTGCCGATATTTCATTACAGGTTCAAGCTGAGGCATTCATGATTGCGAATGACAACATTGCGCATGGCCTCATAGGGGCAATTCAAGAGCATAAGATCAGCACACTCATCATGGGAGCTGGCATATATGGGTATCCAGCCCTCCCAAAGTTATTTATTTTTATCACTTCAATTTCCATTTCTAACAAAATTCTCCGAACTGATCGGTGCTCTTGTAACAATGTGATGCATTATTGCACCTTTTCTTCTTGGCAGGAAAACAAGCACCCAAAGGACAAAGCTAGCAATCACCATGGAGAAGGAAGCTGATCCATCTTGTAAGATTTTGTTTGTCCACAAGGGAAATCTATTCTCCATCAGGTAGTTGTTCTTTGAGGAGCACTCAGTATTCATGGCTTCTTTTCTTTCTAAGACAATACAAGAAAAATTCTGGCATCTACACCTGTAGATAGACATAACAGTTACATTACATAAATGCGACAATCTGCCAAATCTTTATCTATTATATACTATAAAAGTCCATTAAACATCCTACAAACGCTCTTAAGCCGCCACGTGGTACTCCTACAAATACTCCTATAACGCCTCGTGGCACTCTAATATATTAAAGAAATTGCTATAAATTGTAAGAATAAAGTAAAACATCTAGCCTTCAGTTTTCATTTAATTCGGCGGGCCTGTTATTTTGATCCATCAGATCAAATCACATGCTAATCTCCATGGCCCCACCCCTAGCCTGTATGTAATCCAGTTTGTGCTTCCGCATCACGTATGCATACTCCCGTCCGCTCCTTCACGCCCTCCAATTTCCTTTCAATTCCCAATTTATGTTAGTTAGAAAACATAATTTATAATAAAAATTAAAAACATCTAAATCATAGAGATAATTTTTCATCTGCTTATGTATCACTAATTTACATGGTAAAAACTCATATTTAATTATATTTTAACTTGCAAAAAAGAAATTTGTTAGCGTTGGGTTGTAACAATTATAAGAAAATATGAAAATAATAATTGTATAGTAGTAGATTTTAGAGATTACCATCGTACATCACCTCATAATAATTAAATTAGATCTATAATTGTAAAAATAAAAATGAACCTAGTTATGAGTGATATTCTAAAAAACTATTCCCTCCATTATGAAATTATTACAAGTCAAAATAACATTATTGTATTTATCATGAAAACTACTTTCATATGGATGCATACTTTTCATATTTACACTAATACATTTTTAATATGTTTCCTACTCTCTCCATCCCAAAATATAAGGGATTTTGGATGGATGTGACACATCCTAGTACTATGAATCTGAACATGATATGTCACATCCACCTAAAATACCTTATAGTTTGGGATGGAGGGAGTAGGAAAAATACCTTACTTTTAATTTACGCTTAATTTTTTTAGTCATTGTTTTAAATAAACAATTTCCTATAGGGATGAATTAAATATTTTATAATATAAAGGTAACAAATAGCTTAGAAAAATTATCTAAGCAATTCTAGTAAATAAAATTTATGGAGAAATAGTATACTTTTAAAGCGTGGTAGATATCCTCCGGTTGATGGTCCACATTTATAAGTTCTTTAAACATAGCCTACGACCCTATGCTCGCGTATTTGGGCGGGCTACCTTGTTGATAAAATGAATGTATAACTAGCTACAGCAACTCAATAATTCCAACCATGTTCATGGTTTTTTGCCTTGTACTTTTTAAAATGGAAAATGCTGTCAACAACCAGAGATGCAATGTTTTGCAGGCCCAGGACTACAAGCATCCCCATCTCTGTGAATAGTGATGTTCCTACTATGGCAGGTTCTCACATACCTTGGTTCAGCTTCATTCCTCCTTGGCACCATGATGACCGCAGCAGCGTCACATCTTCTTCCTTCCTCACCGACTCGCAAACCATGACCGACAATGGGCTTGATCCAGAAAATCTAGACCACCAATTCTTCGAAAATGCGATGCCCATGTTCGATTATGACAGCTTCAGCCTTATCAGACATGAATCCCTCCATGGCCTAAATGAGATAGCTAGCCAGATCATACTGTCTGGCCATTCACAGTACTTGCGCCAGTTGAATTTCGATGTAAGCTGCAATGAGGAAGTAAGAAACCGCCAGTTCATTCACGGTATCGACTCGATCCTCGGAGTCGATTCGATGAACCTTGAGGAGGTGTACTGGAAGGCCTACATGGAGGACAAGACAATCAAGTGGATTTATCTACTGGAGTACATCCATAAGATTGTATCAGTCTCACTGAAGCAAATCCAGGAGCAGCATGATGGTGCCTCTAGTGGCCTGACACTTGAAGGCCTCTCAGATGCTGCAACCAAGCCTATCAATCGATTGCTCACATTTGCGTCGACGGTCAGTAAGGTGAATGGTTCGCCGGAGAAGCTCTTCCATACGTTGCAGATGCACAAGGCATTGTCAGAAGCTTCTCCGATGATCCAACAAGCCCTCTTGGGAGAACAGAAAGAGTTCTTCGTCAGAGAGCTTCACAGAATTCTTGACACGCTGGAGGACTCTGCAAGGGAAATACTTGGTAAGCTGAAAGTCCAGATTCAATCACATGATTCACCGATCATACCAGGAGGCAGTGTACACTTGGTTACAACATACCTCATGAGATATATCACATTGTTGGCACATAACACCAGCTCACTGAACACCATTCTAGGTCATGATCATAGTGACCATCTGTTGGCAGCTGACGGAATCAACTTGCTGTTGCCAAGCCACCTAATTTCTGGCTTGATATTCGATCTTGGCTCGATGCTTCAGAAGCAGTCTAAGCTGTACAAACCTGAAGGATTGCAGTACCTGTTCCTTATGAACAATGAGCATTTTATTCTTCAGCACTTTGAGCGGGAAGACATAAAACTTATGATAGGAACTGAGTGGATTCAAAAGTACTGTCATAACATCAACCGATACAAAGTGAAATATATAGAAGCAACATGGGCTACTGTGGTATCTTGTTTGGACAAGAAGATCAGCATTTCACTAAATTTTCTGCAACCTTCACCCTTGAAAGAATTTATTTCCTCTTTCGAAACAGAGTATAGACTCCAGATGCACTGGAAGGTCCCTGATCCAAAGCTCCGTATTGAGCTGAGACAAACTGTCTGTGACTATGTTCTGCCAGCCTATTGTGAATTCATGGAGAAGCATCCAAATTTAGAGAAATCAGGGGACAATCTTGAAGATATCAGGAACAAATTAAATGAACTGTTTGAAGGATGAGTTGATACTTTTATGATTACAAAAACAAATTCTTACTTGTTCTCTTGTTCCTTCAATTCATGCAAGGAAAATTGTAACACATACTAATTCAATGATTGTTAAATTAACTTTTCATTATGCAACATTACTTGCCAGTAATTGCGTATTTTGATGCGTAAGTTGAGTTGACAGTAATGTTGGATAAAATCATAAAATACTTTTTTATTTCACATTATGTCAAAGTGTAATGTTTGGAGTACGCACACATCTCTGCACCAACTAGGGATTAGCTAATCGCCAACTCAACTTACCAAAAGGTTTAAGCCAAAAATGGCATGGCACAGAAAAAACATGAGTGAAGAGGTAACTGCTTCAGAAGCAAAAGTAGCGAAGCAAAGAAATGTCAAATGTTGTTTTCTAGATGATTCTGATGCAGAGGCTTCTTAAATCACTTGCATTTTGGGGGGAAAAAACAGGGAAAGAACATAGTAAAATATTTCGCCATCCTGAACACGAATACAAGAGTACACAAGAGGAAAGTGCATTACCAGAAATTTCACACTGGTTCTGATTGTACAAATAATCAAAAACTGTTGTAGTGAGCATTAACAGGGGTTTGATTCTGGTTCTATATATAATCTAACTTTTGCAGCAAGCAGTCTACCCTTCGAATAACTCCATCAGCTTATTCTCAATTTCCTGGGGGATATACTTATGGAGCTTCATACCCTTCTTCTGCAAGTGTGCCTGATAACATTGGACGACATGGGATGAAACAGCTTTCCTCACATTGTTCCGAAGTTTCGGATCCTCAATTCTCCAGTTCTGTTGCTCTGCACAAGTGCTCTCCAGCATCTCGTAAAACCTAGTCGTCAGGGGTAGATGAAAGCAAGGGAACAGTGCTTGCGTCGGTGTATGAGCATCCAAGCAAGACATGACGGGTAGCCATGAGAGCTCAAGGTATCTTGTGATCTGGTGCTTGACCTGGTTCTCGTACCTGAGAATCCAATCCTGCTGCAGTGCAGACTTCACCTCTAGCTTGCGAAGCCGGTTCAATATGAAATGGGCATTGTTCAGCAAGGAAATGCATTCCAGCCCCATCATCGATTCATGCCTCGCCATCCTCTCGAGCAAGGCGTCGAGGCGTCCGATGAAGTGCTGCACAAAGGAATCCACCTGCGTCCATTCCTCACCGTTCTCGCTCTCCCCATCAGCTTGATAAGCAATAATATTGTTGATCACGCTGTCATGTTCCCACAAAAACTTGACGTAGTTCATCACGTACAGAGTGATCTTGTGAACGCCACCTCTCTGCGCTACATGGTACAGGCCACTTTGAGTTTGAGATAGTGAACATACCCGTCGCAAGATCTTCCTTACACACTTCCTGAGCTCTTTGGTGATGCCGTTTAGCTGGTCGATCGGGAAAGTCCCGAGCGTCGCGTACAGACGCAGTATGACAGGCAACAGATCAGGCGAGGTTGGCAGCATGGTAATCACGACAGCTAGCTTCAGCAGGCGACGCATTTCAGATGCTCCTCGAGCTTGGCCGTGCTCGCGGTTGATTTCTTGAATGCTTCGATCAATCAATGCCACCAATTCTTTCCCAAACAGTTGGAGCATCTGCAAGTCTGCCCTCTGAATCCAGGTGCCGATATCTGTTGGATCGTGTGCATCTTCAGGGATGTCCTCCAGAAGTTGTATTTAGTGGGAGACATTACCGGGTTCATCAGAGAAGCTGTGGCTATCGTACGAAGAGGATTCTGTGGTTGCAAAGCGAATAGACAAATCTGTTGAAGATGTGAAACTTGGCATCCTTGTTCCAGATAGAAAAATATCAAAGATTCAGAAAGGAGGAATACTATCAACGTATGAAGTGGCAAGAAACAATTCTGATGAACTATTATATGATGAGAGGAGTTGTTGGGAAAACGAGTGAGGACTCATGAAAGGAAGTTTCCTGCAGCTAATCAAGGTCATCTCTGTTCTGTTTTTTTTTTCTTTTTCACTATTAAAGAAATGATGGAATTTTCTGCAGCGAGTCAAGGTGGATGCTTTTTCCTTGCACTGGAGTACACATCTCTTCCCCCTAGCCTTCAAGATTAGAAAAATGGCTACCCACGGAAGTTTTTTTTTTTTAGAACAACTACCCACACAAGTTGACATGGGCTAAAAGATTCAACAACCATAGCATAAATTTGTGTAGGAACACTCACTCAAAATTTGAAGAAAAATGCGCATCGCTTCCCACTGATCCAGTCAAAATGAATCCCCTTTTCTTCCAGAGAAGGGATTTTTTTTTTTTCTATATAGATAAGGGTACATTACCAAACGGGCTAAGACCCAAGTTGTTGTCGCTTTTGCAATATTGCTCATCCAGATGAGATGATCCACAACCATATGGAGCAGATCCCCTTCGCCTCCAGTTGCGCAAGACCTAGCCGCAACTACCTCCAGATCGGCTCGGCCAAGAAATTCTTGGATCCACATACCTGCGCAACAGTGGATTGGAACTCGAAATTAGTCCCAACTGAAATGGGGAATTCCTTTCTCTCTCTCATCAAAAGAAAAAGAGAGCAAAAGAATCTGGGAAATCGAGAGAGCAAACCCTCATCCCCATGATTCCGTCTGGATTTGGCAACCGCAGTTTGGAGCAAGTTCAATAGTATAGCTTTGGTTATTAGAGTGGTTACAGTACCAGGCTATAAACTAGCTATAAACATATTTTAAAAAGATAAATAAAGAGAGAAGAGCAGTGACTCTAAGATGTAATCTGTGTATAACAGGCGGGACTAGGTATTAATAGTATAGTAAGCAACTATTGTATGAATTGGCTATAGATAATTTGGAGCTAGTAGTGGGTTGCACCATTAAGGGCCTGTTTGGCACAGCTCCAGCTCCAGCTCCACCCCTTCTGGAGCTGGAGCTCAGCCAAATAGTTTCAGCTCCACCAGAACTGGGAGTAGAGTTGGGTGGAGCTCTCTCACAAAATATACTACAGTTGTGGAGCTGGGTTTAGGCAGCTCCACAACTCCACTCCAGACTCAACTCCTGGAGTTATATTTAGGAGTTAGAGCTGTACCAAACAGGCCCTAAGTTTGCTCTTACCTTACAGGAAGTCTGACATTAAATGAAAGAGTGCGAATGAATGATTATGATTTAAAGTTGTTTTTGGTGGTGAGTGGGAAATCATTTTCCTATCCAATTAGCCAAACACCACCTATTTCTCTCGTATAAATTTAATTTAAATGTTTTAGAGCAAGTGTATTAGTTAATTTTTACATGAGTGTCAACAATCCTTACTTTTTTTTATTTCTTTTTTCACGTAAGTTTACAGTTGGTGAGTCTATTATTATCCTTGCTTAATGCCACGTGAGTGTTGTCCATGATCTCGAACACAGGAGCGGCGACGCTGGGCTTCTAGCAAGCGAAGGTGAGCATGGTGCCGAGCAGGAGGTAAGTGGCGAGGATAAAGGGTAAATAGCATATTTAGCACTTATTTGAACCGCTATTATGAAATTGCTATAAAAATATAATTGTATATTTGAATTGGATACTAAACAGTTGGAAACCATAATACATGCCACTTACAACTTAGACTAACACCATTAGAGCAAGGTTAATACTTAATAGTGTATAGCCAACTGGTGGCTCTAATTATTTTGATGTTATTTTACAGTTGATTCTAGAGCTAACTACTACTCTCTTCGGGCTGATAATATTAGTTGTTTTGGATAAGGTTTGGATAAGGGTAAAGTCAAACTTTAAAATCTTTGACTACAAATAATTTCTAAAATATTTATCTTAAAAATATAAAAATCACATGTGTAGATTAGTCTTAAAAAGTACTTCAATAAAATCATATATTTGTTGAAATTTCTATATATTTTATAATAGAAAATAGTTGTCAAAGTTACATTTTTGAAGACCGTGCCCTTGTCCAAAACAACAAGTATTATCAACCCGAAGGGAGTAGTCCAATAAGTTGGCTATTGTGGTGGCTACACTTCATTTATTAAATAATTAATTATATATGCACACATCACTATGTAGGATGAGACAAACTTTTTCTTCAACCTTCCAATTTTTCCATCACATCAAAACTTTCCGACACATACAAACTTTCAACTTTTTCATCACATCGTTCCAATTTCAATCAAATTTTCAACTTTGGCGTGAACTAAACACACCAGAAGTGAACTCAGGCTATGTTCTTCCGCCACCTCTCCCAACTACATCTTTTGTTTTTCACGCACACGCTTTCCAAACTACTAAATGGTGCGTATTTTGTAAAAGAGTTCTATAGAAAGTTGCTTTAAAATTATATTAATATATTTTTCAAGTTTATTTTAGCTAATACTTAAGCTGTGTTTAGATCCAAAGGTATAAAGTTTTGGCGTGTCACATCAGATATACGGACACACGTCTTAAGTATTAAACGTAGACTAAAAACAAAATAAATTACAGAATCCACATGTAAACAGCGAGACGAATTTATTAAGCCTAATTAATTTGTCATTAGTAAATGCTTAATGTAGCACCATATTGTCAGATCATGGAGCAATTAGGTTTAAAAGATTCGTCTCGCAATTTTACACGCCAATGTAATTAGTTATTTTTTCCATTTATATTTAATACTCCATACATGCATCAAATATTCGATGTGACAAGATGAAAAATTTTGCCAGGAGATCTAAACAGGGCCTTAATAAATTACTAACCTCCGCTCTATTTTGTGTGTTGGGAGCGAGGGTTCCTGTCTGTTACTAGCAAACGAAAGGAGGACCTCCGTAGATGGCAGAATTCACAACGCGAAATATCATGCGGAACCAAAACATCGATCGAATATTACAACTCGTACAGTATTCCGCGAGGAAGAGTTTATAATATACACAAAGCAAATTGTTTTGACTCAAGTACTCAACACTTCAATCCAGTTTCATCAAATTCAAACGCAGCGACCTAGAAATTTACCTACTGATCCCCTTCCTTATACTACCTCTTTTAAAAATATATGACGCCCTTAATTTTTCATTCATTTTATTTGAAAAAATTAATATAAATATAATATTTTTTACTTCTTTTACCATCAAATAAAATATAATCTTAATTTATACTTTTACATATTTATATTAAATTTTTAATAAAATGAATAGTCAAAATGTTTAAAAAGGAGTATATAATAACTTGATAAGTGTGGCCCGCCTATCGGTCCATCTTCCTTTTCTATTTTCTTCCTCCTCCACTTTAATGGTGGTGTTTTTCTCCTGAAGATAAGGATGAAGATGAAGATGAAGATGAATGTTTTTTACACAAAACGAGATGTTATTAATGTATGATTGATTGAGTTTTAATTATTATAAACTTAAAAAATAGATTAATATGATATTTTAGAGTAACTTATATATATAAAGTTTCCACACGAAACACATCGTTTAACAGTTTGAAAAGCTTTGCCACGAAAATTTTTATCTTCATACAACTCTTGTTGGAGAAGAGAAATGAATGGGACCATTTTCTCTCTGTCTCCCCTTCTCCTGCACGGCTGCATGACTAGTTGGTGGCGCCATGAATCGGGGCCGGTAGCGGACGATCCAGCTCACAACGGCCGGCGACAGTGCAAATCGGGCGTTGGCGGTGGGCGACCTCACGAGGACTAGCGCGGCATGAATCAATCCTTTGGCAATGAGCTCGAGACAGCCGGAGGCGGCGTAAAACAAGGCTCCGGGAGGCGCGAATGGAGCCGGTGGTGGACGAGCGAGTGACAACGCCATGGGCGCGAATCGGGGCTCGCGCGGCGTAGCGGACGAACTCGCGACGGCTGCCAGCGCGACGCAATTCGGGGTCCGGCGTCTGCGTGAATCAAGCCGGTGGAGGAGGAACTTAGCGATAGGTTTGCGTTGGATCGACAAGCTTGCGGCGACCGCCGGCGGAGGAGGAACTAGCGACAGGCCTACAGTGGATGAGCTCTGAGGCCGGCAGCAGCGCGAATTGGTGCGGCAGCGAATGAGCTCGGGGGGTCGGTGATGCCAAACGAGCTCGCGACAGACGAGCTTGGGGGTTGCCGGCGGTGGCAGATGAGCTCACAACGGTGAGGACAGTTCACCAGCCTGCGTGAATTCCTATGATCGACGGATTGGGAGGAGTCGTTGGTCTTCCCAACATGTGGAGATCGAGAATGACGGAGTTGGGATTTCCAATTTTTTGATATTGATTGGAGGTTTGTTGGATCCATTTTTTTTTTCTATAAAACTCCAAAAAGTTTTAGGATTGGGAGTAGTATTGGGCATTTCTTGTGCATGCTCTAAGCCCATACAACCCAATAAATAGTACTCCCTCCATTTACTCTTGATAGTCATATTTCCAAATCTGAAAATTTTATTTTTGATAGGCATATTTCAATTCAACAACCTATCCTCTTAATGACTTTCTTGGATTTAATGCGTGACTCTCTATTCTTCCACACATGATTGGCTATATGGGCACTGAGAAATGTAAATATTAATGAATCGCTTGTTTACGAGGAATGAGTAGTACCATATTTAAATGGATGATAAGTAGAATTACTTATTCTTGGTCTGTGTGCTAAGATGAAAATATGACTATCAAAAATAGATGGAGGGAGTATCATATAAAAATAATGCCTCGGCCTTTTAACCACTGCTATCAATTTTTGATAGGGGACAAAACCCAACAAGTTACAAGTGGTATGAAGTTGCACGCTCTAACAAGTAGTATCATCCTCCATCTTTGATCCACTCGACTCTGAATCTCCCGCTTCACCATATGTAACAGCTTGCCCTCCAAAATCACACAGTCCAGTCTATATATCTTATGAATGGACCCACTTGCACATACCACCCCACTTACACTTTCGTAATTACTTCGTGTAAAAGGGTTAACCTAAAGTATTATAATTAGAGGGACAAGCCGTTATAAATTAATTCCACTCTTGCTCAACACTAGCAAGGTGTTACTAATCAAGTACTCATATCACTGGTGGAGAAATGCTCTTTACTCCCGGTTTAAAACCTTTGTAGTCCCGGTTTTCCAACCGGGACTACGAATCCGAGACTAGAGATCGCTATCTTTAGTCCCGGTTCAAATAACCGGGACTAAAGATTGATCTTTAGTCCCGGTTGGTAACACCAACCGGGAGTAATGGGGAAGCGACAGTTCCTCAAGATCTTTTTTTATTATTTTATTGTTGCTAATAGCTAGTGTTAATCCATGTATTTTCTCTCGAATCGAATGGGATGCACATCCCAAATATTAAGTTACTTATACACACAGATCCTACACACAGATCAAATACATCACAAATCCTAAAAAACTACACACAAATTAAATACATCACAGATTATACAAGATTATACATCTCAGATCCATGCGATGCAATGAATCACAAAATCTAAAAAGTTATACATCCAGTGAAACACAAATTATAAAAAAAAAGAAAGGAAAGCAAACGAGCCGGCGCCTTGCCGCCTGCCCGCGCGCGGCCGCGCCGCCGCCCGCCTCCACGCGCGCGCCGCCTGCCTCCCCGCCCGCGGTCGAGCTGTGGCCGCCCGCCGCAGTGCGCCGCTGCCTCCCCCCGTGCGGCCGCGCCGCCGTCGCCCGCCGCCGGCCGGCTGATGGAAGAGGGAGTAGAGGGGAGGAGGAGGAAGGGCCGGCTGATGGGAGGGAGGAGAGGGGAGGAGGAGAGGAAGAGGAGGAGGGGAGGAGGAAGGGATTGGATC